AAAAAAAAAAAAAAAAAAAAAAAAAAAAAAAAAAAAAAAAAAAAAAAAAAAAAAAAAAAAGAAAGAAGATATTTCTGTGGTTTTAATTCAATAAAATATTCATTCGCTAGTTTCATAAAGTGTGAGTTTCCATCCGGTTAGTCTGAGAACTAAACAAATTTATCCCCATTTGTAATTCTTTTCCCGGGTGTTTTACTACTTAATAGTAGCAAATGTTTCCTTCATTAATGGTCAAGAAACTTGATACGTTCTGAAATGCTAATGCTTAATGTACAGTGTGGTAATGATGCACGTTGTATTCTATTCCCTAAAACAATAAAACGTTGGTGGTGTGAATCATTGGTTGGATGCATCTGTTGTCATCTTTTAATGAACTTCAAACTTTGAAGAATTTATATGCACTACGATTATATCTTTGCATGTGAAACTATGAACTTGAAAATATTGAAAAAGATTCATGTGTTCAGGTTCTCAATCGGAAGTTAGAAAGTCTGATGCTTTAAGAAAGAGAGGAACAATGGGTAGTAAAGCTATGTTTAAATGGGCAAAAACAGTCACACCTGCTCATGTTGAACAGCTAATCCAAGCGGAACGAGACATAAACAAGGCACTTCTCATATTTGACTCCGCAACAGCCGAGTATACAAATGGTTTTAAGCACGATCTCAATACTTTTAGGCTCATGATTAGGAAGTTAGTTTCCGCAAACCAGTTCAGGTTAGCAGAAACACTTCTTGATAGGATGAAGGAAGAGAAACTTGATGTCACTGAGGATATATTTCTTTCTATTTGTAGGGCTTATGGTCGTATCCATAGGCCATTGGATTCCATTAGAGTTTTCCATAAAATGCAGGATTTCCATTGCAAGCCTACAGAGAAATCTTACATTTCAGTGTTTGCCATTCTTGTTGAAGAAAATCAATTAAAATTGGCTTTTAGATTTTACAGGTATATGAGAAAAGTGGGTATTCCTCCTACTGTAGCTTCTCTTAATGTTCTAATCAAAGCCCTCTGTAAGAATAGTGGAACCATGGATAAAGCTATGAACATGTTTCGTGAAATGTCTAATCAGGGGTGTGAACCTGATTCATATACTTACGGGACTTTGATCAATGGGTTATGTAGATTTGGAAACATTGTTGAAGCAAAGGAATTATTGCAAGAGATGGAAAAAAAAGGTTGTTCACCTTCAGTCGTCACCTATACTTCAATGATACATGGTCTGTGTCAGTTGAACAATGTGGATGAAGCAATGGACTTACTTGAAGATATGATGAGCAAGGGTATTGAACCTAATGTATTTACTTACAGCTCTCTAATGGATGGATTTTGCAAGGCTGGCCATTCTTTGCGAGCTAGAGACCTCTTGGAGCTGATGGTCCAAAAACGCTTGAGGCCCAACATGATCAGTTATAGCACATTGATTAATGGACTTTGTAAGGAAGGAAAAGTAAATGAAGCGTTAGAGATTCTTGACAGAATGAAACTTCAAGGTTTGACACCAGATGCCGGATTGTATGGGAAAATAGTGAATCGCCTCTGTGATGTTTGCAGATTCCAAGAAGCTGCAAACTTCTTGGATGAGATGGTCCTTTGTGGGATTACACCTAATAGAGTAACATGGAGCCTCCATGTCAGGACACATAACAGAGTAATTCACGGTCTCTGCACTGTCAATGACTCAAATCGTGCATTTCAGTTATATCTCAGTGTCCTGACACGTGGTATTAGTCTCACTGTTGATACTTTCGATTCGTTGTTAAAGTGCTTCTGTAACAAAAGGGATCTTCTTAAAGTTTCTAGAATTCTGGATGAGATGGTGATTAATGGATGTATCCCTGAGAGAGAAATGTGGAGTACCGTGGTTAATTGTTTTTGTGATCAAAGAAAAGCTTGTGATGCTATGAAATTGCTGCAACTTGAGTTGATGAATTGATCTCTTGGGTCTATAATATTTATTAAAAGTTGCATTTCATGAGCTCGTGTTCATTTTGTGCAGCTGCACCTTGAATTCTTTTCCTCCCTGGACAAATATGCATACCTTTCTTTTATTTTCTACTTTCCAACTTTTGTCTGCCTGAAAATAGCGTTAGCCAGCTCAACAACATTTCCAGACTTCTCAATGGTATTTTCTACATAATCATGGTGTCAATGGGAAGCCAAACAGAACATTGGCATACTAATTGGGATGATTTGTCTTGTTCCATTTTTATCCTTACATTTAGACATTGTTGTAGCCTTGTAAGTAGCATTTGGTGTAGAGCCATGCGACTTACCACTTGCATTCACCATGCATGGTACGTATTATTAGCCTTGCTTTTAAACACCCACATCTTTTTTTAACTAATTCGCATATACATCTTTCTCATGCATTAAAGTAATTTGCCTCCTCTGCCTTTTTTTCCTTTTCATTTCCCTCTTTTTTCTCCAAAGACTTATTTGTAGTAGTAGAAACATAACATGACAGACAATGCTAGACTTTATCATTTTATTACAAGTTACTTTTTTCATGGTAATTTGAAGGCTTTGTACATGTTATGGAACATTCGTGCTTTCACATTTTCTTTTAGCTTCGGCTGGTTGACTTTCCATGCATACAGAAATACTCATTAGTATTTCGGAAGAAAGTAAGGTGGCGTGCTACACTTTCTATAGGTGACTAACATTAGAATCATTGATGCTACTCTAGATTTGGTGTTTCTATATTCTATTAAGTTACTGTTTTCATGATCTTTGATCGGTTGCCTTTGCTAAAAACAGCAAATGACTATTAATTTAAAATTCCATTGCTAGCGCTTCATAGATCCAGCTTTGTGAAGTCTGGACATGAATCCCATCCCACCTGAGTTTTATTCTATCGATTAATTAGCATCTCCCAAAAGTAGTAACAATAGAGTTTTCTGTTGAAAAACCAGGAAACTGTATTTACTGTCTATAGATGGCTCATCATTAAATTACTATGAATCTGTGAACGCCCCTGCATTCTGAACCGTACTGTATGGGATATGAGAAAGAAGTTGAGTTCATCGTGGATAATTGTGAGATTTTGAGCTAGATTTTTGCCTTTGGACTAATTCTATCAACATTAGCCCCAATTTTTACCTTACCATAGGACGCATTAGGAAATTTATGAGAGATTTAATTGTTTAGAATATGGTTATGATGATTTGAACCTATAACGTGTACTAAGATCACAAAAGTACCAAGATGATTAGTTTGCTCCCTTTTTAGGAGGGGCAGGGAGGGGGTGATCATAACTAATGAACAAGAAAATTAAAGAACTTGATCCAATGGTTGGATAGCTCCCATAACATGATCTATGAGTTTCATTGGCCAATCCGAGAACATGTAAATGTTACCAAGATGACTCACCACAAACTAGCAGTAGTGTTTGGTGGTTGCAACAGAGACTGAGTGGTAGTGGCAGTGGGAGTGGGAGAGCTTCATTATGCAGCCATGTGCCTCTCCCTTACAAGCAACTTCCAGTATGTTTCTTTCTTTTTAATATTGTTGTGAAATTCTTTACAATATTCCCACTTGCAATAATTGACTGTCTTGATTGGTTTGCGCCTTCCCTATGTTGAGTGATTATGTGCCAAAATTGACTCACAACATTCTTGCAGATAGATGGTGTGAAGAGTGTGATGATGAGTTGTCCCAATGGCAATTTGACTGTGACCATCCTTCTTTGGCACACACAAAGGTATGTTAAAATATTTATTTGGGCATTCCTTTTCTTCTCGGTTTTTTCCCTTTCTCTCTCTCTTTGAATGGTAATAATTGGTAGACTCCAAAACTTTATTTTGATGTCAGCTGCCCTTTCTGATTTAGGCTTTGTTGGTAATGAGTTTGTTTGTTGCATTTAGCACTTTTCCCTCAATTTAAGGACTAGTTGGCAAGCCCAAAAGTGGGTATGATGACCTATTTTTTTAATAGACATTCATTTCATACAATCATAGAAAAGGATAAAGCCCCCTCCCGAATCATCGAGCATATCTTTTTTGTTATCTGCCCATTTTCTATCTCCCTGTTTTAGATCGGCTTTAGAAAGAAAAGCCTCGCAATTTAAGATCTGGAAAAGTTAAAGAATTTTTTTTTTAAAAAAAAAAAGATTTTAAAAGGTTGAACTCATCTGAACCTCATGTTCTGTCTTCCAAGCCAGAGTTTGAGATTACTTGATTCTTGTGTTGTACAAACAGAGGCATCCATCAGTCACTTACCCATCAAGGTTTTTGGATCTTTTCTTTGGTCAAAATAACTTTTTGGTGTACCCCAATTTCTGAACTGCCTTTGATTTTGACACTCCATTATCAAAAATATGCAAAATCTTACTATCCAATATTCATATCACATCATATCATGTTATGATCATTACATTACAAAAATTAAAAGAAAACTTAGAAATAGAGTTTAAATCTTAGAGAAAGTGGTGGCATGCACCTGAAGAAAGGTGTGAGGAATGGAAGAAAGAGGAGAATTATGATTTTATTGTATGAAAACAACAAACTCAAATGGGTTGGGGGTGGGGTTGGGGTTGGGGTTGGGGTTGGGGTTGGAGCCACCATTGTTGTCTTTACTGTTCCTTTTTAGGCCTAAATCAATCTTTACTATAATGATTTTGGCCCATTTTTCTGCCTCATACTTTCAAATTTGACCCCACACAACTTCGCCTCAATGCTTTCTATAGCAATTTTGTTTTCGAATTTGATAGCGATTTCGGTTTTACTTTTTGAAATTTATGTTTATTTTCTCTCGAATCTAAAAAACTATTTGAATTCTCAATCAAAACTTTTTTTTTACAAAAAAGTTTGTTAGTTCATACATTTTTTATTTCTTTATTTTTAAATATTTAATTAGAATTTACCATTCAATTTGAAAATAGATTTAATTGCATTTCAAATAATTAAAATTTGTTCTCAATTAATATAATATAAATACATAATAGGAAAAAATATATATATTTTAAGTAACAATAAATTTATATATAGTTTTAGAGAAATCTATAAACTAGTTCAAGTCGTAAGTTTTTGTTTATTTAAATCAAATTCAACTTAAAGAAATGTATAATTCAACTCAAACCACAGCTTGGGTTTATCATGATCTATGGGTCATCGGATTTTTTTCGAACGTCTTTATTATTTATTTTTTGTCATATATTTAAAGTAATATAAAGTAGTTTGATAGGACTAGATAAACTGAGGGAGGTCCAAGTCTTTGGACCACTGTTACTCACATCTCTATCGCCAAATAAAAAATAAAAAAAGAATTTTAACAACTTTGGTGCTTAGTTTCTAATACGACAAAGACCCTTAATTATAAGAATGGTTACAATCATACCTTTTAAAATTTTTAATTCAACTGAATGGACTAATTTTGTGCTTATGACATTATACAATTTAGTCATTTGAACTCAATTTTTATATCCTAAATTGAAATATATATGTATATACATAATATTATTAAAGATTAAAATATTTAACTTGTCTGATGAACCAAAAAATAAATTAAGCTAAAGATTATTGAAAATTGTAATAATTTTACCAAGTAATGGTTTAATTGGAGTGACGTCATCGTAGTGAAAGTTTAGAAGTGTTTTTTCAAAAAAATTATAATATCAAATATCAAGATAATATTCCTTCCATATATATATTTATAAAGTAGGTGAGAAAGAGAAGAATTTGGAACATGAAATATAATTTCTATCTCAAGCCTCTTTAATTAAAAGAAAAAAATCTAGCTATTTTTTTTATTTTTCATTTAGATGGAAATTCTGAGTGGAATTTAATCAGGCATATTAAATAGAAATGGAAAGAGCAACAATATCACATGGAGTTTTTTTTTTTTTTAGATAATGTCACGTGGGTGTGTTTGTGTAGTTGACGTGGATCCCATTTTAGTAATTGACAGTTTCAGATTTAAAATAAGCAAGATCTATAAAATCCAAATATTCTTTAAAAATAAAAATAAAAATAATAATCCAAAACATAATTCCAATGAAAAATATTGTCTTGTTTTTGCGTGCATCCTATAGAGCATGCCATTCCTCTAATTTTCCTCTTTAATTACATTAAATTTTAGAATCAAAACATTTTTTTCATTACAAATAATGATTATTTATTGTACCCTAAAACATAATCCAAACAAATATTAAAAAAAAAAACATGAATTAAAATTATAAAATAAAGTTCCAGTTTGATTCTTAATAAAATAATATTTATAGTAGTACTAAATAACACCCATTTTAAGAGAGAGTTACCGAGGCGGTCAAAAGAGGGAAGAAACTGATGCGACAGTTTTTACTTTTTTTTACCATTGGAAAATGTGCCAAAAAATATAAAATCTTCTCCGTAGCTTCCTGGAATCTTTGTCTCAAATTCTTTTACGAATTAACTATTTTTATCCCAAAGAGGTAATATTTATTATTTAATGCTTTCACTGTTGTATTTATGCATATATATTTTTTTTTAAATCCTTGACAAAAATAGATAAAATAATTAAAATGATTGCGAAAAATGCTTTAGGTAAAAGTAAAGAAACAGGCGTTGAAAAAGGCAGTGAGCCAAATCTTTGTTCTCATTGTTCATCATCAAATTTACCGCATCTAATCACTAATTATCGCTTTTTTTTTCCTTTTTCTTTTTTAATCTCTCTTCTTCAAAATAGCTTTCACAATGGCTTCAACTCCAAGCATTCCATTATATAAATATATAATATTAAGATTTTTTCACGACAATTCGTGTTGGAGGATAAAAATCACACATCACTTAATTTAATGAATGATCATGAATTTATAAATATATAATATTCTCTTCATTGATGAGGCATTTTGGAAAAACTCAAAAGAAAGTCATGAGAGTTTATGCTCAAAGTAGACAATATTATACCATTGTGGAGAGTCGGGTTCGTTTAACAATCATATATATATATATAATATTTTAGTGTAGTGTAGATTTTATTTTTTATTTATTTAAGTTATAT